ATCCGGAGTGTTGAGCATCATCTCTCCTCGTCCGTCGCACGGACTCTCCGAGCCCTCAGTGAGGCTATCTCCGGTATGATCTTGTACCAGGGCATGAGCAAGCTGTCCGACGCCTCATTCGGACGCTCCGCCTCGCTCAGCTCCAAGTTCGGGAAGAGCCAATCGATGAAGCGCGCGACGCCCACCCTGTCCGATTCCGTGAGCCTGCCCGCGGTCATCCGCAGGTCGAGCGTGCGCAGCCCGTGTGGCGGGCGCCGTTTCGCAGCGCCGGCCGGGACGTCCAGCGCGGCGGGGATGTGCATCTTCGTCAGCGCCAGCTCGCGCAGCTCCGGGCAGTGCTCCGCGAAGTGGTGCAGCGCCGCGAGGGACGGCACGGTGTCGGGAGGCACGTACGAGACCGCGAGGCGTCGGAGGTGCTTCCACGCGAGCGCGAGCGCGAGGACGTCGTCGTCGTCGAAGCGTGATAGTCCGCTCGCGATCCGCAGCTGGACGTCTTCGAGGTTGCGTAGGCCAGCGAGGGGCTGGATGGCCGTTTGCAGCGGGCCCTCGAGACGTGTGAGCAAGGTGATCTCGAGTGTGCGTAGGGACGCTGCGAAGCTCGTTCGTGGCAGGACGGACAGGCAAGACTTGCGGTTGGCGGGGAACGGGCTGCCATCTATGGTGAGCATGAGGCTTCCCAGCAGCGGCGCGTCGAGACCCGAGTCAAACAGCCCCGCCAAGTCTGCAACTTCGCCTTTCAGCCGCAGACCCCTCAGCGACATGGAGGCGGCGGCGCGTGTAGGGTTCGCAAAATCTACGACATGGGCAGAGAGGTGTTCTAGACAGGGCATCGCTTCCAAGATACGATTCACGTCTTGCGGTGTGAGGCTGCAGAGCCTGTCAAAAAGGAGTAGCTGGCGCATATGTGTGAAGCCAACGAGATGAGGAAGTACGACGGATCCTGGCAGGTGATGCCCTGATATGACGAGTCGACTGAGGTACGGTACAGCTGTAGGCAGTCCAGCAAAGAGGGATTGGGATTGAGTATAGTCGTTCGGTCTAGACCGCCCCGAATCTGGCTCAAACGCTGCGGTAGACAGATCTAGCGAGCGCAAGGACGAAGAGGCCACAAAGAGAAGCGACACGTCGGAGGGGTAGACATGCCGCCACGAGAGCGTTCGCAAACTGGGCAGGAACGTACTGCCGCCGTTGTGCTTGATGACGGCGCGGATGAGTGCGAGCTCGCCTGCCCCACAAGAGGCGGTCACAATCTCGCGAACGTGCGATGCCCGACGGAGGAATTGTTGCCACCTCTCGGGCTCCGTTGTCGCGACATTCTTCACGAACTTCTCTGCCTCAACGTACTGTGGGAGTAGTCTACCGTCAAAGGAGTGATCCGAGTGCGCAGCGACGTTAAGCACGACTGCTACTCACCTCCCAGTATTCTGTGAGGCGTCTTGCTGAGGGAGGGAAGTTGCGACCAGCTGCTAAGAGAGCCCACAGCGGAAGAAACGAGCCGAGTGTCCTCCACAAGACCTGGCAAGCAGGTCCCGACCAGACTTGGCACACGAGAGCACAGCTAGCGAGCGTGCGACGTCCCGGGCCTCCTGAGCGGGCTTCGAATATTTCAAAAAGATACAAGAGGATGTCGTACTGTTTGAGCGCGATGTGCACTGCGCTTGCAGACATAGGGGATATCAAAGTAGGTATGCGACGTTGATGTATTCGGCACGCCTAAGTGTGCACTGTGCTCAGTCTTAGCATAGGCCCACAGAGCTCGAGAGTGAGATACATACAGTACGATGATGAACGAGGGCAGCGCAGGAAACGCACTGGCTAATCTTCGTGTAGATACTACATACTGTACCCTCGGCGATTGTTTATAACTTCATGCAGGGCCCATCACGCTTCACTGCATGCGAGGCAGTGCATGATGCATCTCGTCGTCTGCCCCTTCGGCGCTAGTCACCCATACCTGCGGTAGTTCCCACGGCTGCATGCACTGTCACGGTATCGCATTTGTTCTGACAGCACCCCGCTCATGATCAGGCTACATTTTCCTTACAGCACTTGATCATTACAAGTCTTTGGGCTACGTGCTGCAGTGCTGTATTTGACCACAGACTAGGCTCTGCTTGTGTAACGTACATGCTCAGCGCCAGTTACCAGTGCTGTATGCGATTCGCCTGCCTCACGGGGTAGTACTCATCAAGTGCTTACACATTTTGTACGGTCCAGTAAAGAGTGGATGTCGTGCTATCATTCTCTGACGACTCGATAGGCTTGTTGAGCATTCGAACGGCGTGACCAGAACTTTGATCCGTCGACGTCCAGCACGCACCATGTTCAAAAAACCACTCGCAGATCTGAAGACATCGGGTAGGTGACCTGGAGCCTGCCATTCGCCCCTACTCACAACTGACGACCGGAAGCACCTCTGCGGAGCTCTGATCGTCGCAAGCTTAAGCAACGGGTATTGCAGTCATATACTGCCTTACAGCCAGAAGATGGGGATCTGCTCGTACCGGACGGCCTGCAGTCGCAGAAATTCAGTACTCATCATGACGAGCCTGGTGTATGTGTCGTCGCTGCGCTCTATGTAGGCATCTTGGTGCATGTCGCTAATGCATACTCAGGTAGCATATTTATCTCCCGAAGGAGATCCCTTGTGGTTCACCATTGGCAAGGGTTCCGAGGACCTCATCCCAACAGGTAAGGCAAGATCCGCGAACACCCGCAACGTCGCGGGCTCATTTGTAATCGACCACCAGTGTACACTCTGTGGAAACGCCCTGATCTACTGCCTTTTCTGTCTACCCCTGCGCCGGTTGTGCCCAAGCTCATAAACGGCGCCGATCTCATGATCCCCGGAGGTACGCCCGCAATGAAATGGCTGGGCTACGTATCTTTGACGCTGAACGCATTCCCACTTGCTTTCGCGTCAAGGAAGTGATCCAGCATTCGCCTGACTTGGTCCCTGACCAGCTCGTCGCGGTGACACAGTACTACCGCGGAGCGATCGGTCCTCCTATTGCGGTCGGCCGCATGGCAGTCTCTTCCGACACTCTGCGTTCGCGGAAGAGGGCGACGTGAAGGGCAAAGCTGTCTATATTTTGCATACTTGGAAGGACGCCCTGTGGGAAATGGGTCCGAGTAAGAAGACGGACGTCCCAGCTCCGAGAGATCTGAAGACGTCGGAGGTGGACACAGAGGAAGAACCTGCACAACAAGCTGTCGACGACGACGGCCCTATCGCTTCGGAAGAGAAGACTGAAACGTCTGTCGCTGAAGCCGAATCGGCCGTAGACCAGAGCGGTGACGCGGTCGCTGTTCAGCCCGACACAGCAGAAGAGTCTGCAGATGGTGAAGGAGAGGCAAGCGTTTCTGCTGCCCGATTGACTGCCGAGGGTCCGTATATGGCTTCAAGAAGAAGCCCACCCGCTGTATGCTCATCTCATACGCAGACGTTTCTTCCCTCCTCCGGGCTGCATTAATACAGGCTATCGGGAACACTATGTCCAGCCTTCCGCCTTCGAGCTTCCCGATCTCAGCTTCCACCTTCTGGAGCGCGTATGTACTTCCAGCCCGTCCGGCATACGCGCTAGACATGTATGGCCTTCGAGGCAAGTGGCACAACTACCACGCTCTCAGCAGAATCCTCACGGACAGTCCCCCACGACCCCAGATGCAAGCGCAATTGACGTAAAGCACTCGACGTTCAAAAGTGTCAAGACGTTTTTGAGAGCATCGGCGAAGGAGGGTCTCATCAAGCTCAAAGAGAGCAAGAGCGACCTCATGGTGACCGGTACGTGTTGCGTGTCTTGATGTCCGCCGTCACCGACCAGGAAGCTCGCAGCGGTCTTTCCTCCGCACCCCTATGTGGACTCTCGGCAACCGCATCGCACGATAGGGGACATTGAAGCAAAAGCGAAGAAGGCTGAAGACAGGGTGCAGAAGGAGCGAGAGGAAGAGGAGAAGCGCAAGGGGGAGACACAGGTCGTGGAGCTCTGGAAGCCCTTCGGGACTACCATACCGTTCTTCGTTGCTGCTGGGAAAGAGTAAGTGCTTCTGATGGAAATGATCACCGCCCCAGTCTGGCTGATCTACGCCTGTCTTGCAGCACTTCCGATCTTTATACCATCGCAGACATCAGAAACATCGTCAACGACTACATCTCCTCCCGCAACCTCATCAATACCAACGACCAGCAGTATATCAACATCAGCACCGATCAAGCTCTCGCAAATGCCGTCTCCGTGAAGGGCGAGGAGACGCCAGAGTTCATGAAGCGCGACGAGGTGCTCAGACGCGTGCGGGCCCACATGCAGACCTGGCATGAGATTCGTGCTGAAGGTCGGGATGTAGTGAGAAAGTCAGTCCAATACCATGCTTTACTTCTCCATGGTCAACTGACTTCGACTCCTCTCGCGTGACAGGAAGGGCGAGCTGAAGCCCATCTCGGTCGTCGTGAAGATCAGGCAGGGGCGCAAGGCTTGCACGCTCATCACCGGCTTCGAGCCGTTCGGTTTGCAAGCCGACGAGCTTGCGGAAGATTTGCGCAAGGTGTGTGCGAGCTCGACATCCGGTGGGTTTTTCTTCGCTTGCGTCGGAGTCTTCGAGGAATATCCCTCTTACACGAGGGCGGGTTCTTGCCAGTGACACAGGTTCAAGGCAAGCCGAATTCGCTCGAAGTCATGGTTCAAGGCAAGCAGATCAAGAGCGTCGTGGACCTGTTGATTACTCGAGGGGTGCCCAAGAGATGGATAGAGAGCTCAGACCAGACGACGGGCAAGAAGAAGTGAGTTGCTAGTGGCATGTAGTGAAGAGCAAGGACAATGTGCGCTACAGTATTGATCCATGTGCACTTTTTATGTCTGCTCTCGAGACAATAGCGCAGTATCTGATTAGGAGACTCAGCATTTCTACATCAAGGAGACGGTTTATGTCTTCTGCGATTCCTACGCTGTCCGCCAGCTCGAAACAAGCCGACAACCTGCCAAAAAAGAATCAAAGGGAGGCAGTGACCATCGCAGGGGTCTAGCCTGCAATCTTTTGATACCACTCCCAATGCCGGGAGGTCGTGCAGTTTTCGTAGTCAGACGCGATGCCATTTCGCCAGGCGGCCATGCAATCGGTGTAAGACGCAGAACCAACACGAAGATTTGCGAGGAAGTCAAGCGCTCGATAGATCGGCACGGTTTGACCTTGACTTACCGTACCGTCCAAGTCCCTCGAGCGCGCGTCCTCGAACGCGGTCAGTGGATCGAGTGGGTCGTTAGGCTGCGACGCCTGGCCCTTGGGCAAGGGAGCACTCGAGAGCGTCTACGAACGGACTTGGGGCTTGATCGGTCTGTGGCACCTGCGAGTCGTCGGGCAGGGAGACGAGGTAGTTACATATGGAACGAACAACACTAGTAGTGGTCTTGAGGAGATCGAGGATATCGACGTGATCAACCCCGAGTGAATCAGAGTCTTGCCCGCTGGCATGCGGCTGAGGTATAACGTTCCACCCCGAGGAAACCTGGATCAGGTCTTCTATGATGCCTGGCCTCAGGTCCCCCGGGTCTGTCTCGAACGTCTTGACATACAGCGGAAATGAAGATTGGACGGTCTGCGGTATCGCGGGCGAGGGTAAGAGCACCAAGTCCGGCGTGGCAGAGAGCTTGTTTTTCAATGCCTCAAGCGCACCAATGGTCGGTCTGAACCCGCTGTTCCACTTCTGCAACGGACTGCACGGTCAGCGTCCGCGTACGGGTCCATCACACTCTCCCGCTTTGCCGCGCTGCGACCAAACGGCTTCTGGGGTTCATGTTCGGATAGAATCCGACCTGTCGCCTGCGTTTCGACTGGCCTGCAGAGGCGTCTGGCGGAGTAGATGGGCCCGAGGCATTATCCATGGTGTCGACTTGAGGAGAATACACGTAAAGTGCAGATGCAAGCAGGCAGATGCGAAGCTAGGCGAATGCGCAGAGAGACGAGACCAGGATCTAGAATATTAGTGTCGTGAACGTGAGACGGGCGTACCGGACGTCGTGAACGCGCGCAGTGAATCAGCACGAGCAGCCTGAGCGCGCAACTCTCGCCGGTCGAATGCAGACGACAACCTTATGAACATACATGTAATACAGCGAGGCCTTTCACAGTGGCGTCCTCGCAGCCGCGACTGGAGACAGTGATCTCAGCGTGGTCAGTACCAGCATGCGAGACACTTGTGATTATAATCAGCCTCGAGCTCGATTCTCCAAGTGGAGTTTGCAAAATCGACTTCTGGATCACGTATCCAGCTCTGCGCCGATGACAACTCTGAATCTCGGAGTGGGAGTGTCCCCCATGTCGTTCTTGAAGCTCCGCCTGCGCTACTCGAGTCTGAACAAGCCACCCGCCCGCCTAGTTCATAGACTATGCAGTCCCATGCGGAGCGAGGGGTATGTAACATGGACAGCGGGTGCACCTATGCTCGAGCCTAGTTGGCTTCCACGGCGAATGAGTGGAGGCGAATGGCACAGCGTAGGAGATTCCAGACTTTCGAGTTCGTTGCATTCCACGAGTATGTTAGGTATAAAACAGGTTGAGAGTCGTGACAAAGGAGAAGCGGGGAGCAATGCCGCGCACAGGACAAACAGGACGGATGCTGAAGTGCTGAGGTCTCAAAACACAAGAAACCGAATCAACTCATGATGCCGGTGCAGATGGTATAGAGTCGCTCACCGACATGAGCGACCGTCCCAGCGGACAACGCAATCACGTCTTGCGCTCGAGCTTGGTCTTCTTCGAAGCAGGCCTAGCGGGCGTAGGTGAGGACGGCGCGTTGTCAGGCAGTTGACTCCTCAACGGCTGCCTCTGCGACTCCGGCGAGACGTCAAGCACAGTGCTGGATTTGAAGTCGTCTGGGCTCCGGGGCGGCGTCGCTGGCCGCTGCACATCTGAACCACCGACACCCGGCGGGTCCAATCCCGCATAGACCACCCTGTGGACAAAGTCCTCCTCTTCTTCAATGCCTCTGCCTCTGCCTCTGCCTCTGCTGTCCGCTCAGAGGGCTCCATGGGCACCTGGTTTTCCGAGGTCGTCGAGAGCCTTCTCCAGGAGGGCGATGACGTGATCATGGATGTTGTGGTACTCGTAGCCATGGAACTCGTATGCGAGCAGCAATAGATGCCACCATTGAAGCAGTACTGGCTTGAGAGGCGCAAAATACTCGTGCACATGGACGAGAATCTCCGATTCGAACGCTGTCCATTGCTCGAGAAGCTGCCTCTTGTTCCATGCGAGGGTGGCAATGTCGCCATCGAAGAAGGAGAAGACAATGCGACAAAGCTGCACGATCCGCGTGCGCTCATCCGAATCGGACATCTCCTCGATATCAACCTTGAGTTCCTCGCGACGGCTACCACCCGGCCCTGACCGCGTTAGGCACAAGTAGAGGAGAACCCAGAAAAAGGACTCCATATCGTGCACTGCATCGTGGATCACGCTGCGCCGATTGAGCCCAGACTTGTGCACATTGACAATGACGTCTATGGCATTCAGTAACATAACGCTGGCGTAGGGTGGTGTACCCTGTGGAGAAACTTCTCAGTAATGTCTCAACATGCGCAGAATTCCCGCCTACCGAACGAGGTGCTCTTGCCGCCTGTTCTGGGGTTGTGCCATCTAAGAAATATTCGCCCTTCATGCCCCTTCAGCAAGCAGTAATTTAAGGGTAAGGGATGAGCGGCTCACCAGAATCTTCCCATTCCACCCAAACGTTGCCAGATCACATGCGTCCCCTGCGAACTCGCTGAACTTCTCGGCGTACTTGTGGGCAGCGATTATATATTTGGCTCCGCTGGTTGTGAGCGTGATTCCAGGCTTCACACGTTGGGCTTGGGAGCCCTCAGCGACAGCGTGCAGAGCATGCTCGATCACGGAGTCGGTAATGGAGGAGAGGTCTAGATTGGTGTGTCCGTTCTCTGGTGACCGTGTGAGCGACGTGAATACAGAGCGTACTTGGTCAGGCCCGCATACGCACCTATCTCATCGAGTAAGTTCTCTCGAACGCGTGCCACCATGCGCGGTGTAGGGGCCTTAGATGGGATCTCGCGTTCAGAGACGGGCTTGATTGGCTTCGAATGATTCAGGTCAACAAGTGCACCCCCAAAGCTTTGCCCCCCAAGCCCTTGGCGCCGCGTTTGAGTGCGATCAGCACGTTCCCTGTGCTGATGTCGCGATGAAGGACACCATGCTGGTACGCAAATCTATGGGCTTGAATCAAGCGTCGATATGAGCATCGTGCATTGACAGAATAGCCTGCTACCTATGACGTACCACGCACACCATGCAAAAGGATGCGCACTAGCTCTGCGCGATTGGCAAAGAACTTGACAGAGCAGCCAAAGGTTTTGAGGACGATGCGCGTTCGAGTGCGGTTCTCTGGGGTGCTCGTGCTCCGGCCAGCGTGTATCCGGTGGATTTTGTCGGTGACGATGTCAATGTGGACCAGCTCGAATTCCGGATCAAACGACCGTCGTCGCTTCAACCTGGCAAGGTGGTCTGAGTCTTCAAACGTCGGCGGTATGGGCTCGAGGCCGCGGTGTATGAGATTGTGAGTGTTGTCGACCGCGCCGTCGATCGTCACGTCTTCATCATGCACCAGCTCGCCTAGGTATTGCACGTCTTCACTGGCTGAGGCTTCTTGCGCGGTCCACAGCGACCTGTACAGTTCTCCCTCGTTTGCCATCCCCTCTAGCCTCCAGGCTTGCTTCAGCACGAAGATCTGTCCAAACGAGGATGAGAGTACCGTCAAAGCGAAGTCGGAGAGGACCATACCTGCCGCTGACCAGGATCCATATGACGTTCGTCATACAAGAAGACGGCCCACACGATCGACCCGCTCCCATGCACCACATCGGTGCGGAGAAGACTCAACGCCTTCAACGTCACGTAGACCCCGTTCTTAGTCTCGATCACCCACTGCGTCGAGTAGTTGTTTCTCTTGTACAGCTCAACGTCGAACTGGTCTGGTCCCGTCGAGCACAAGCGATATGGGTGAATGGGAGCGGATGGTTCGCGCGCCAATCTCATCGTGGGATCAAACCCAAGTCGATGCGCGGGTAGTAGAGAGAACGCAGCGATGACCTGGATGAACTTTTTCGGTTCCTGCCCACAGTGGTCAGGTCACGTTAGGAAAGAGTAAGCAGCCGGACGCACCGTATGAATGTCAATAGCTTTGTTCATTCCGAGGACCCCGGACCTGTCTTGCAACCACACAGAGATCTGCGTACGGCTGAGGGCCAGACCTAAAGCGAAGCGCCTATCTTTCTGCTCGACCAGGATCATACGAAGATAACATAGGAGTTGCAGGATGAGCTCTTCGTCCTTGACTCGGATTTCGCGCTTGGCCTCGACAGCAGCAATGGCCTGCAACCAAAACAACTCTTCCTTCTTGTCTTCCTAAAAGGAACATCAGCGTTAACCTTGGCTGCTCTCGCTGAAACCCACCGCAAGAGCAGAGCCGTTGCCGACGACCTTGGCGAGGGCACCGAGGGCCAATAGGCAATCCGGTCGAACCTTAGCACCTTCGGCATTAAGGTACCGCGGAGACATATGATGATAGTCCACCCAGGAGGCGTCCCGGACCTGTCCCTCGTCTTCCCCGTCGTGTCTAGCTGCTGCTGCGATCTTGTTCGCAACGGACACAAAGGGCTCGTATAGGTCGTCTTCTTTGAACCCCGCGCCGTGTTGAGGGAAGCCGCACCAGTGCCCATCGTCGTACGTCTTGTCCTCCAAAAGAAGTCTATAGATCTTGTCGACTGCGCCGCCGTCGACTGGAAGAATTTTGTCCAAGAACTGTTCGTGGTCGCAGACTTGGATGCGGTTGCTGACCTCTTCCATGACTCGCTTGAGAAGGACGGATGCCGGAATACGGTCGGTTGTGAGCAGGCTCGTCTTACTTGCACTAGGTAGATTCCTGATGGGCGAGGGACGTTCACCGGCTTGTTTGCCCCGCCAATCGAGGATGCCTTGCTGCCCCGAGCCCATGGTGAGCACGGTTGGAGGACAAGACGGAAGGCTCAGACACAGAAGAGCAAGCGGTGCACACCTTTTCTACAGGTTCCCTATCGGATCGATGCGATCGACCACCTGCAG